CCTAGCAGCAACTATCTCGTCAGCCCGACTCCTTTTTGCTTGCACCCTCTCCTCCAGGGTGCTCCCGCTGCAGGTGTCTGTTCTCACTGTCCTCTAAAATCTTCTCTCCTTTTTCATGACCTGCTATGGAAAAGCCTGCCATTTTCTGAGCCCATTTTTTTATTTTCTCTCAGCCCAAATCAGTCTCTCATTTTTCAAAATTTGTTCTGTTCTCATGCCATTAATAAATTATTTTTCTTAATATTTTATGAAACAAAATTCATTTTGTGCCCATTTAGATGATAACATCTTTAATGGTGGAAACTTTCCTGCTTTACTCCAGTAAATGTCTATGCTCTCCAGATGTGTTGGTGCATATTTTTGGTTTATAATTAATACTTTTTGACAAGTTTTTTTTTCTGAATGTTGAAGAGTAAAGAGATGTAATAAAGTTGCCATATTGCATTGAACAGCAAACTGGAGAAACTATGCTACTGTCTCTTGTAAATGCAGATTTGCAGTAGTTCTGATTCAACACACATTCTGTTTGTGCTTGTGTATTGTGGCTAAGAGATTCTGGTTTTCATTATATTGTATCTAATAGATATTTGTTTAGAAAATAAATCTGTGTGCTTGACCCATGGACATGGACAGTGGTGTAGGGATTGCCCGAGGGAGTGGGGGCTTGGTGGAAGGGAGCAAAGGTGAAAAAATTGGGACAACTGTAATAGCATAAATAATAAAGTTTTTAAAAAATGATCCAAATTGCTATGAATGTCAGAAACTTTTGATGATGTTTAAAGTTTTAAAAGATTGCTAGAAGGTAAAATGACAAACTTATATTTATTTGAATATATTAAAATGCAGATGATTGGTAGGTAAAGAGCATTTATTTATTTGTATACTTAATATATAAATCTCTATATTATGTACCAGTTTTCCATGACAGATTAATACAGAGCCATTTTTAGAAAGACTTCAATTGAAATGTGTTCAGGATGTACTTAGAAACATTTTAGGAAATAGATCAGGCTGACAGGAAACTGTGGAAATGTAGAATTTTTAAAAGCTGGTTGAGTGTCTCAAGTCCTAATTTAGGAAGGCATTATCAGTTTATTTCAGTAAATACACATTTAAAGTCTCCACAAAGAGCTATTTGGATGTGATGCTATATCATAAGAGAGAAAAGGGCACCCTAGGCATGTGCAGTGTTTGGGCGTCTGGAGAAGAAAATCTCGATGGGGCCTTCATTGACTCTAGGTCTGTTTGCTTTTTCCAACAGTGAGTTTCAGAAAGGTGACCAATGTACCAGACAACTAAAGGAAAAATTACTTCTTTAGAGTTTATGGTCATTTAAAGAATGGTTTTCATGTTTTAAAATAATTTGTAATAATCATGTTTCCACTTAATACATGTGTGTTGTGTTAAAACAATAAATAAGTACTTTAGAATACTATACTTTTGGTTGGTATAAAGAAATGGTATACCTGTATAATATTATTTTACCACTGATGGGCTTTCTTAACAATGAGAATACTTGACCATTGTGCTGATTACCACACAACGGTGGGCATTAATAAAAACATAAAAATGAGCCTCACACTTAATCACTTCCTCCATGTTATTTTGTGCCCTGAAGCAAGTGCTTAGTAGAAGTTTTTAATCTATAAAATGAATTTTCTAATGTTCTCAACTTCAGTTGATGTTTTATAATGTAGCTGTCTGAGTTGTGGTAAACAAGGGCTAGAAGTCGGGTCTGGGCTTGGGGTAGAGGGTGTGATTCCCCGCTCCCTCTCGGTCCTGCGTGAGGGTTCCCATGAAGGTGGTAGTTTTCTTGGTGGTGTAGGTGATGGCAGAAGTTAAGTGCTATTTATGGTGGGAAAACACAAAATGGATTACAGTCATATTGGTAAATTCTCATTTTTCTCTTTTTCTACTCTAGATTAAAGAGTCTATTGTTGGGGAAATCAGACGGGAAATTGTAAGTGGACTTTTGGCAGCAGTGTCTTCAAGTAAAGCATCTAATTCTAAGCAAGATAGTCATTAAGTGGAATTACTAGGTAAATTGACTGAATTTCTTTGTTTAGATAAATGTAAAATAGTACTTAGCTTTTAATGCTCTGTTTTCTTACTACACAGGTCTCTTTCTCTAATGAAATTTTGATTTTTAGAAAGTATCTAATACATTATTCTAGAGTATGAAAACCTCATATAACCCCTTCTGAAATGTAAGCAAGTCAAATCTCATAATACTAACCTTCATGGGAGGTTAGGGGCAAAAGGTGGTTTACACTTGTTCATATGGAAAATAATACAATGATTAGTAAACAGTAATACAAGAATGAACTGTATCTCCCGTACTCACATCTGTAAGCCTTCTTTTGCCTCACCCTGTATGATGTCATTTTCCTGGATGTTCATCATAGTAAATAAATGCTAGAATTGGGAAAATCAGGACCTTCAAACTTGAGTCTTATTGTGGTTGCATTGCTTATATAGTATTTAGATGGACAATTTATGGGCCGAGAGTTTGAGAATTACTCACAAATTCTTAGTATCTTTCTCAACTTGTGTCTTTTAAAGACAGATATCCCATAGATCCCTATCTAGTCCTGTCATAATATATGTAGAATTGTCTTCTGTGTTTTATTTATTAAAATTAGTTACTTTAATTTTATCGTACAGCTCTAGCTACATTTTATAAAATATATATTAATAGTAATACTTGGTGAATGCCAAAGTCAGTAATACATTTCTATAGAATAATGTGCTTAATGCAACTAAAAATATGCATTCAATAGAATATGAGAAACAAATACATAATTTGAAAAACATAATTGTAATTTCCATTGTAGAAAGTAGAAAAAATATTTTTATAAACTATTTCATAAAATAACTAATGAATTTTTTCAAAACCAGGGATAAAAGAATGAACTCTCAAAAGGCTATATAGAGATCACAGTAGGATCTTGTTTATATATATATTTCTTATATTTATATATGTTCACATTTATAAACAGTATACGTACTATGTATAAATATATGTATTTAGAGGATATTCTCATTTCACTTTTAAAGAGCTTTTTAATAATATTTGGAAAATGTTTACTTTTTCCTTTTCAAGGTTAGCACGGACCATATTAGCTCTGTGGTGTTGGAGTTTCCAACGACATACCCTGGTGGAGGTGTTGTTTCTGCTTCCGAAGACACTGGCTGCTCAGCTGGGCTGCTGTATTCGGCATACAATGTTTATTTCTTCTGTGCATACCTTTTTAAAAACATACGTAGAAACTTAGGCACTTTGCTTACTTTATTTTCTAAACTGTCAAAACTAGCCATTTGAAAATCCTAATATTTATTTGTATGTCAATATTTTCCAATCGATTCCCTACATAGAATTAATTTTAAAACTTGAAAACTTCCAGACTTAACCAACGTATAAATAACATGTTTCTGCAGACTAGCTTTCTTAAACACTGACCTCTATGAGGTATTTACTGTGCAATAACTGATTCATTTTTTGAGAGCTTGAAACAAATAATGATTTTCTCTCTACTGCTGTTAATTAGTATCACTTCCAAGAAGAAAAATTGTTCTGTTGTGAAAAGTTACTATTAGTTCTTAAGGAAGTTACTAATAGCAGTAGGATAGAAGAATTCTCATATGAGGTTTCCTACAACTACTTTACGTTCTTACACTGTAAGCATTGTTACTTCACCCAAGACAAATGTAGTTTTATTATAGCTTATGTAGTATTTTTCTTTTGGAAATGTGCCTTACATTAAACACTATGTACTTTTCACATTATCCAGACTTCTTTATTATAAGGAGATATTTGTTCTTCTGTCTTTTAGACAAAATAGTAGAGAATTGCCAAAATAATGGGGCCTGTGACTTGAATGGGTAGAAATAAGCTTTTTTTATTCCAAAATAGAAGTAATTTAGATTTATTCTCCTTATAATAGATGGTTTTAGTTCATTTTCAGCCATTGAGAACTGCTTGTTATTATGGAAGATGGTATCTTATTTGGTTACATATGTGTTAAATAAAAGTGTAAAGTAACAACCAAATGTTATTAGAATTATTCCTTTATCATTTATAATTTTTGACTTCTTTGTGTGAAACTTTAATCAAAAGTGGTTGAAGTGTTAACATTATTTGAAAAACTATCTAAGAGGTTTATAAATGTTTGAATTATCACACAAAGGCTGATTTCTAAAAAAAATTAAAACAATAAAGTATTTATTTTGCATAAAATGTTTTTAGTGGTTTCTTTTCTGGAACTGCAGCAAAATGAAATTTGATTATCTTTCATGAGTAACAAATAAGGTACAAGAGAATTACAGCATATAACCCAATAGGTTGTGATGGTCTCTTTTCCTGAAGAAGCTAAAATGCAGTTTAGACCAGACCACCCTGGAGAGAGTATCCTGATGTTTCTTGGCCTCATCTAGTTCTGTGGTCTTCATGATTGCCATCTTAAAGCCAAATAAAACTGTGCTTTAAAATATACTGTTAAACTATATTTTAAAAAGACATAAAACTGTTATCTTATTCTTTTATCAAATTATTCAGCAATTTAATTAGTTGATTCTAATAACATTAATGATACGGATAAACGAAACACTCTGTGTTAATAGTAGTCTAGGCATCAGTGTTTTTTCACTCAGCTCTGTAGCTGCTTTTAGTTCGTTTCTGACAGTACAAGATACCCAGAATTTGCTAATCAAAATTAGAGACATAACAGTTGCAATAAAAGGCTGAGCCAGTGGGCAAAACACTTAATAGTACACAGATAAAATGAACTTAACAGTATTTGAATTTCATCTTTCCCCGTTTTAAACCTTGTGCACTTCAACCTTTGAAGACTGCTATATGGCAGCCACCATGCTAGCTGCTCTGTGGAAATGAATGAGAGATACCTACCTGGCAGGGGAGATACTGTGATCACAAAGATGGCTTTTCCAGGGTGAAACTTATCCATTGCATTCCAGATGTGCTGACCCCCACAATTTCCCCAAATGTGGGAAACTCGAATGCATAATTTGTGGTAGTGGGGGACTGCGTTCATGCTCCCCCCTGCAGGGAAAAAAGGAATGAGAGGGTCTATGAACTAAGTGGAAAGACAGGCCATATTTTCATTTATGGGTAAGTTTGGAAGCACCACATGAATTGAATGAAGAATAAAAAGAATTTGAGAGCCTATCCTTGGGTAGTCAGAGAAGTCTAAAGATACGTGGTTTGAGTACAGTCTTAAAGACTGGGAAATGGAAAGGATGGGGCACAAGTGGTCAATACATTAGCAAAGACTGTCCAGAATGCAGAAACTCAGTTTGAATTACTGTGTGCATCATGAAAGGAATATTTTTAAAAACCTAAGCTGTCTATAGCGTGTGCATATCGTGCTGAGAGCCTAAATGAAGAAGGCACAGAAGAAGTACCTCACAATGGTGATTTGGAAGTTGGGAGTCACTGAAGGATGATAAACCATTGTCGATAATGTGCAGCTTCTCAGACTTGAAGTATGTATTATTCCTTTAAGAATATTCTGTTGAATTTCAGTAACAGTTAAAATATGCATTACATCAGTTAAGACTATTTGCTCAGCTGGCCATCTTCAACTATTTTTGAAGAATATATTTTTAGAGCAGCTTTAGGATTATGACATACTTTAATCTTTTACAAGGAAAATAATGCATGTAAAATAATGTAATAAAAAAGTATGTTTGGGGGATTCCTGAAGATACGCACTGCCTGTGCCCCTCACCTGACCACAAATAGAAGTGTTGCTGGTGGAAGAGAAAGGTAGAAACCAAAGAAGCATAGGTTCTCTCTCTTTTTTTCCTTTTTCCACTACTGGGAACAAAGGATTTATGCCAGTTCTAGGAAGTGGGAAGAGAAAACATTCTATGCTGTAAGGGAAGCTAAGGATCTAAATTTTGTACTGTTATATACGGCTGCTGACGTCATTTATGAGAATATTGAATGCATTTAATTAGCACTTATTGTGGCTGTATTCTAAATGTATAAAGTTAAATCGTATCTAATTAATAGCTCCTCTCCTACACAGTTTTTAAATTTCTATTTATTACAATGAAGTTGGGCCCTTTGCCATGTTTTCATTGTTCTCATCACAGCTGATGCTCTGATCATCACATTGAATAATAGCTTGCACACACAGTATAAGTGTGCTGAGCAGGGAATTGGAAATGTACTTAAAGATAAACTTAGCAACCAAATATCAGGGCCCATTTCCCATGTGTGTTTTTTGGTACCGCAAAGGAGACTAAATCTTTTGTGAACAAATACTAACTCGCTTACTTGCTCGCTTCATTTACTCACTAAATTTTACCGGATACCTTAGAGCACAGGTGGCAAACACAAGGCCCTCCACCTTGTTTGATTTTGCCCGGCCCTTTGTTTCTACCTGGCGGCAAGATGGAGCTCCTTGCCCCTAGTTAGGGAGTAGTTACATTTATACGGTCTTAAAATGACACTTGGCCCTTTGAAGGCAACCTTGAGACTGATATGGCCCCTGGTGAAAATGAGTTTGACAACCCTGCTTTAGAAGATAGACATATAAAGAGATTGAATAACAACATGTTCTAAGAGAAGGTAAATAAAATATATTGTTTAGAACTTTGACGAATCTATACATTTGGGAGTTAAATTGTCTCTCTTTGGTAGCAAGACTTTAGAAAAGCAGGTTTTCCTGTCTTTCAGGTGCTTTGAAGGAGAAATGTGTTAAACAGAAAGAGGACATTTTATCTTTAAGGAGATATCATCTTAGAGAAAACTTTAAATTATAGCCCAAAGTTCAAAATAAAGAACAATTGTAAGCACAGCACATGGAAGGAAACCATAAGAGAAACTACCCAAGTCCTTATGGAGACGTGCGGTGGTCCGGAGAGGCCTGGGTGGCAGCCGTAAGAGCATGAGCGAAGAGCTGTTTTATCGTTAATGGTTGCAGGTAATAAGTCTTTATACTGTGCCGACTGGACATTGAGAAAATGCAAAGACAGTCTGAGTCAACCAGTCAAGAACAAGAATGAGACCAAAAAAGGAAAGAACTAGCTCTGGAGACGCTGCAGAAAGAGATCAGCTGGAACGTGGAATTTGTTTCAGTCATTGGTATTTGGAGTTGCTTACCATTCCCTTGGGGAAGGGATTAGTGATTAAAAATAGTTACACCTGTGTTGAACACATTGCAATTCCTTATTTGTGTTCTCGGGTTGTTTAGTAAATCTATTCACAGATGATTCATGTTTTGTTTCAGTACACTGAAAACAATTCCTTTTATTGTTTATCCAGTCCCAAAGTGGAAAAATATCCCTTGAGGTATTTTGAAGGAGATTATCTGATGAGTCAATTCACAAGCACTTATCACAATTTTGTGTCTGGGCGGGGATTGCTCTTGATTGAACCACAAGCGGTCAACAGATAAATCTCAGTAACGAATGTTTTTATTTGTGTTTGGTTAGAAAGTACCTATATCATTACTAACCTATTGAGACATGTAAAATAAGACCATTCACACAAACCTTTGAATAAAAAATGGAATGTGTTTCACCAAGTCTCACCAGCCTGTGAGGACATGTGGGGTTTGCATTAATGATGATAGATGTAGTTTTAAATATTTTCCCACCACCTACTGAGTCATATTGTCTCCCAAATCTCATACATGTACACTGAGGGGATCCCCAAGAGTTATTCATGAATCTTCATGACTGTTTTTATCTATCAATCCCAAGTGATTTCTTCTTCACAATTACATTCATTAAACATGCATTTAATGAACAGCTCTTGAGTACAAAGCACTAATGAAAAAGTTAATATTTTTTATGACCTTATTTTAGTATTTGCTAATTCGGCTAGCATTTGGGTCAAGTTGGTTTTTTTTTTTTTTTTGATTCACAAAAGAGTTTTTATTTCAGTGCTATTTATTGTTGTTGTTTTTGTTATCTTTTAATTGCTCTATGGGAAGCCAAAAGCAGATCACAAATGACATCACAATTCTGTTAGGTATAATTCTAAACCTTTTTTCAGAGTGGATATTAATTTACTAGAAGGATCTTAGCTTGATCCATTCTGCCTGCGATGTCCATAATAAGAAAGGAAAATAAATGAAACTGCTTGTGTCTTGTGAGATGTTTTACTTCTTTAAAATCTAAATATACATTTCAACAGAAATTATTTCTAAAGAAGTACAATAGCAGTGAAGAAAACTTTGCCTGTGATCAGAAACTATGTGGGCGATAAAACACAGTTGAAGTATCTATCACTCACAATTTCTCTAAACGAGGCTTAACCTCCCAAAGATTTTGGACTTGTGTCTACCCGTAGGTAAATTCCTTTTATTTTTAAAGAAATCTGACCTGGATTTCTTTTGTAAAAAACACCCTGGAACTCAATGTGGAACATCAGTGAAACAAACAACTGTCCATTTATAACACAGCTTGGTTCATGGATTAGCTGCATTATAGTAAAGCTGGCAGCAAAGCAACTTTCCTTAAAGTACTTCATTCTTGCCAATTAATAGCAAACCTAATGGGAAAGAGGAGAAAGCAGTGGGGGAATCAGTAATAGCCTGAATTTAAATCTTTTGGTGAGGAAATATTTCTATGATGGAAAAACTGTAACCACAGATATTGTTAGAATAATATGTATTTCTTCCATAGCATGTTCTCAATTTCAGCATTTCCTGTTCGCTTTTTCTTACCTCTCTTTCTACAAGACCTAGAAATTACTTCCTTATGGAATGATTTCTGCTTAAAGAATATTATTTTCTTCCTTAAATCTGTGCATTATATTATCTGATGGAGCTGGATAAAAATGTCATCTTTTGCCAACATATGTCTCTTTCAGTGTCATTCTAGTCTGAACACTGTTAAAGTTTGAGAGCTTAGATTGTACAGAACAAGTTCATTCTTATGTGATCTGGCCTATATGTTTGAATCTTTACTGAGTTTGCTAAAAACCAAAGACATCTATGTTCACTCCTTTTTACAAGAAAATATTGCTAAAATATATATAACTGAAGGGAGTGGAAGACATAAACATAAGTGGTCCAGTCTAGAAGCAGACAGGCCTCTGTACCAGGCATAGGTCCGCTACTTTCTTGCGTTAGTCTCACTCTCCTGAAAATAACAATAGCACCCACCTCTGGTTAATTGGGGGAATTAACAAGGTGTAGTAAGGACATTTAGCATGCTGCATAGCATATGGTAAGAGCTCAATAAACATTAGCTATTGCAAGAGATAGTAATAATTATAATAATAGAAGACAAAGCAAAAATAAATAGCAGTGAATTAAAGTATCCAGAATATATACCATATTGATTATCAGAGTTAAATATGAGTGAAAATACAGTTGATGATATTCCAAGTTTATGTTAAACCACTAACTATCAAAATTGAGTGGTTTGTCCTGCCTAAGCTTTATTTAATTTGGAAAAGTTCAATATTGGATATATTTGTCAGAAGTTTATCTTTTCTATTATTTTTAAGAATATACTTAATTGGGGACTTCCGCTAAGATGGAGGCGTAGGTGGAAGCACTGTACTTTCTCGCACAACCAAGTTTAAAAACAACAAAGTTTTAGCAACAAAAACATAGCTGAACAACAGAAAATTGAACTACACAGAAGTCTGACAACAACGAACCCTTCAGCCAAACCAGTAAGAGGGGCAGAGTCAGCAGCAGAGTGGGGTCAGGCATGAAAGAACCACTGGACTGACCTGGGCATGCGACCCAGGTGTGCCAGCAGCCATGGGCAGATCCCAGGTGTGGAGAAACGGGCGGACCCACTGAGGGCTTACCACAGTCACACATTCGCGCGCAGATAAACCTGTGAAGGAGCAAGTGGTGAGACAGACCCTGCAGGCCCCAGTGGCTGGAAGTGGCAGAGAGAACCGCCATTGTCCCTCTCTGACCCCGCCCCCACATACAACGTCACAAACTAGCGACCTGGGTGGCCCCGCCCTGGTGAACAACTAAGGTTCCGCTCCTCATACTTAATGGCGCGAACAGATCAAAACATGGCTCAAGAGCAACTCAGAGCCCCACAGCCAATAAATCTAAGTGATGAAGAGATAGCCAAACTTTCAGATGCACAGTTCAAAACACTGGTGATCAGGATGCTCACAGAACTGGCTGATTTTAGTCACAAATTAGAGGAACATATGAAGGCTAAATGAATTGAAATGAAGGGACATGCACAAGAAACCAATAGTAATGGAAAGGAAATTGGGACTCATATCAAAGGAGTGGACCAGAAAGAGGAAAAAAATGACCAAACAGAAAAGGATGAAGAAACAAGAATTCAAAAAAAGGAGGAGAGACTTAGGAACCTTCAGGACATCTTTAAACGTTCCAACATCCGAATTATAGGGGTACCAGAAGGGGAAGAGAAACAGCCACGAGTGGAAAACTTATCTGAACAAATAATAAAGGAGAATTTCCCCAATCTGGCGAAGGAAATAGACTTCCAGGAAATCCAGGAAGCTCAGAGAGTCTCACAGAAGTTGGACCCAAGAAGGAACACACCAAGGCACATCATCATTACATTAGCCAAGATTAAAATGAAGGAGAGAATTTTAGAAGCAGCAAGAGATAAGGGGACAGTACCTACAAAGGAGTGCCCATCAGACTGTCAGTGGATTTCTCAAAAGAGACCTTACAGGCAAGAAGGGGCTGGAAAGAAGTATTCCAAGTCATGAAATCCAAAGACCTACAACCAAGATTGCTCTATCCAGAAAAGCTTTCATTTAGAATGGAAGGACAGATAAAGTCCTTCTCAGATAAGATCAAATTCAAGGAGTTCATCATCACCAAGCCCTTATTATATGAAATGTTAAAGGGACTTAACTAAGAAAAAGAAGATAAAAATAGGAACAGTGAAAGGACAGCAAACTCACAGTTATTAAGAACCACACCTAAAACAAAAGCAAACTAAGAGGACAGCTAGATCAGGAGCAGAACCATAGAAATGAAGATCACATGGAGGGTTAGCAACAGGGGAGTGGGAGGAGGAGAAGGGGGGAGAAGGTACAGAAAATAAGTAGCATAGATGGTAGGTAGAAAATAGATAGGGGGAGGGCAAGATTAGTATGGGAAATATAGAATCTAAAGAACTTGAGACATGTGGTCATAAACTAAAGGGGGGGAGTGGTGGGGAAGGGGGTGTGCAGGGTGGAGGGGAATGAAGGGAGGAAATAGAAGAATTGTAATGGCATAATCAATAAAATATATTTAAAAAAACATTTTAGGAGGCAACTCCAGAGATAAATTAGAAGCAGTATTAAATATGTCAGAATTCTTACTCAGAAGCTCAATATATGTTTGCTTGAATACTTTTTTTAAAAAAATGTGTGCATGACAGAATTTTCAAGTCCCCACAGGATAGCCTGCTCTTTGGAAATTGTTAATAGAAGAGAATCTCGGGACTGTCAGAGAGTCCTCTGTTCCTTGTGACTATAACAACAGGTGATGTGGTCATACTATGGCACATTTCCCCAAGGTGACTAAAAGGAAATAACCATTTCCCTGAGTCGCCGGTATTTCCCTTGTGATTTAGAAGACACTGGTGTCTCTGCCTTTCTGCTGAACTGAAACTCTGCCACCCCGTGTCATTGGAAGCTACTTATTTCATTGATCTGGCCCTCAGATTTCTTCTGTGATATATTGGATGATTTCTCAAATCTCTTCTATGTCAGTTTTGCATATGATTTTTTTCTTAAAAAATTTTGTTCTCACTCATTAAACATTTATTTTATATAAAAAAAAGAATATACTTAATTGGCACCACAATAGAAAGTTAACCAGGGTGATTGCCAGGGATGAGATGGATGCATTTCTCTGGATCATCTAAAAGATCTGAGTGAAGAAGCTTCAGAAAACTGGAATCCTCAGTTTTAGCTAGCTGTAGGCCTTTATTGTTATTTTTATAAAAATGCCATTGACAATAATATTCTTTTAGCATTAAGCTCCTGCCTCTTTTTCTTTAATTCCCATTTTTAAAAGTGAACAACTGAGTTGAGCTTTGAAAACCCTCTAAGCATAGAGACTCTCCGTTGGGCAAGGACAGTGATCAGAATATGTGTTTGGGCATGTGTATCCTTGCACACAGAACCGATGGATGTGTTGTTTCTGTTCAGTTTTATAATTTTACATTTGGAGAAATATTCCTTTGAAATATAAACTACAGAAAACATAGCCTTTTAAAATTTTCTGAACTGGTGAGGTATGGGTTAAAAAAAGTTGAGAAAAAATTGACCAAGAAATTAAGCCAATTTTATCACCAAAATAGAAATACTACAAATACAATGTACTATATACAGAGTGCCTTATAATTATTTGTTTCTCAGGGGCGCTTCTATGTGAAATAGTGGAGTTCTAATTTATATGTATCAGCCAAATGATTTCCAAGTTAGTATAATTCTGAAAGTCCAAAGTTAAATAAATATTCAACTGGCAGAAATTGCCAATAATTTGCACAACAATATTTTAAGGCACCACAGTGGGACAGCCAGCATCTCCTCTCTGTTGGGAAGGGTCTATAGCTCTGGCTCAGGAGGACCGCCGAGGGACTGACACGTACTTAGCTATGAATTTCGTACCTTAGAGACTGAAAATCAGGAAGTGTGGACATCAGTATGTCATGCCCTTGACATCTCATTTCAGGCAAGAAAAAGAAGAGGCACTTTTGAGAAGTGATGGCCACTGCCAACTTCCCGGTTTCTTCTTTAAACAAGGAACATTTATATAGTGCCACGATCTTCTGGTACAATGCTAGAAAAACATCCCTTATGCCGAAGGTAGTTCTTTCCAGTGACTATTTTATAGTTACTGGTACAAAACCTCATAGTTATCTTTTTTAAAACATTAAAGGATTTTTAAGTAATGATGATGCCGATCTATAAAAGTAACTATAAAAAGAACTTCATAATATTTATAATAAGCCCCTGGTTTGGCAGTTAGGTATGTGTTAAACTACCTAACTTCTCAAGAAAAAATGTGTGAACAGTTTTATAGACTTAATTTTTTTAACTGATAGATTCTAAACACCTAAACATACATTTATATATTGTCATTTTGTTTCTTTTCCTTCAAAAGAATATTATATACAAAGATCATGTCATATGCAACATTAGCAATTTGAGGTTACTTCTTACATTTTTCCATTGTTGAAATAGCTAAGTAACGGCCCTAGCAAACTTCCAGCTCTGCTTAGCAAATCTTGATTGTCGTCTTTTTTGTGCCAGGTACCTTGCTGCTTCCCACCAAGTCCTGATAATCCAATTCTTTCATATGGAGTAAACTTCACTGCTAATATCTCAGTTCAGGTCCTCTAACTTCTTGCCTGAGATATGGCACTATTTCTACTTAGGCCTTCCTGCCTATACCAGTTCATCTGAAGTCCCTATTCCCCCTATTGTTAGAATGATTATGCTGCATGCAAATATGATTCATTCGCCCCTGCACCTCTGTTGCTCAAAGACTCCCAATGACTCCTCATTGTTTTGAGTTAGTCTCTGTTTACATCTCCATCTGTGATTGGAATATTCCCCCAAATACCAATTTCTGTACGCAGTCCTTTTTTACTCCATTTATCAGATTATTAGTTTTCTAAAGGTAGTCCAAAAATATGACCTGACCCACATATTCTTTTAAGACCTTGCAACTCTCTCCATCAAGAGCTGAAATTAATATCTCTTTCCCTTTAACCAATTGAAAGTTTATGGCCGCTTCAGACTATAGAGTGTAGTAGAAGTGATTACCTGTGATTTTCAAGGTTAGGATGTAAAAGGTGCCATGCACTGCCTTTTGGTTCTTTCCTGGTGCTTGATCTCAGAACCCAGCCCCCACGCTGTCAGGAAGGCCTAAATACCTAGGAGGGAGAGGCCTGTGTGGAGAAGAACGGAAACTTTAGCTTTGGGGCCTGGCTGACCTCCCAGCCAGTGAAGAGCACCCAATTCCCCACCATGTGAGAAAGATATCCTGAATGTAGAGTCTCCAGTTGCCAGCTGAGCCACACCAGAGGATGCCACATAGAGTTGGGTCAGGTTGTCCTCGCTGAGCACCATCCAAATTATAGATTCATGGACAAAATAGGTAATCATTGTTGCTTTAAGCTGCTAAATTTGGGGGCTAATGTATATATCAACAGGTAATTGGTGCTATTTAAAAATTTTTTTATTTATTGGTAGAAACATCAATTTGTTGTTCCACGTACATATCCATTCATTGGTTGATTCTTGTATGTGCCTGGACCGTGGATCAACTTTGGTGTGTCAGCACAATGTTCTAAACCAACTGAGCTACTCAGCCAGGACTGGTAATTGCTACTAATTTTGGTACCTAGAAATGGAATGTTTCCTTAACAACAACCTCAACTGTGGCATTGGCTTTGAAATGGTACTGTGGAAAGAAGTACTGGGAAAACCCAAAAGGGTCTCAAGTAGAGTGTTAGTGGAAGCCTAAAATACCTTGAGAAGGCCGTCAGAAGAGCCTGAAAGGAAGATATTATTGAAGACTGAAGGAAGGGGACCCTAATTAGGTGATGGCAGAGAGTTTGTCAAAACAGTCATCTGTGGAAATGTGGCAAAGAGGAAAGGGACCTAATAAACTCAGTGATCCAGTTGAGGAGATTTCCAGACAGATTGTTCAAAATGCCACTTGTTTTTTCCTCATTGTTTATAATAAAATGTGAGGAGAGAGAGATGAGCTAAAGAATAAATAATTAAATATAAAAAAATCAGAATATGCTGGGTTTGAAATAAAATTATTTCTCTAAAAGCAATTATTAAATTGAATAATGCTTCTGGAAAAGATCAAATGCAGGATGAATCTCTAAGCTCTTTAAAAATCTTAATGCCTACCTGGCCACCTCATTTCTGTTAAAAATAGGACTTCTCAGATCCTTAAGGGTGTTCTACTCTTCATATTTCATTGCAAACACAATACTTTTCTTGATGATTGTGGATGCCAATTGTGTTACTAAATTTGGAGCGGCTGAAAAGTTATATAAATAACTTTAAGTCACAAATCCCAGAACCAGGAAATTACAGTGTTAACTCCCTCTGTTAAGGACAGTTCATTGGCTATGGGAAATAAAGTAGGAAGTAAATATCCTATTAAGTGTGGCCAGCAGAAGCAGTAAGGATGGAATTGTGTTCCTGTATTCATGTCAATTATGTTAAGTTTAAGGTGGTGAATTAGAGTTTAAATGTTCTCCTTTTAAATACTTCCCTTTCGTTCTGGCATTTGGGGGTTGGAAGCTAGTGTCTCAGCGAGTCCATATTTGGGACTGTCTCCCTCCCTGTGCGGAGTGTGTGTCCTCCGTGCAGCCTGCATCTGCAGGGGTGACAGTGACTAAGTTAGCACCAGTAAGAGAGTTGGTGTCTGTCAGATGTTTATTCCTCATTCACTCTGGCAGGTTATCCTTTTCATTTGAATTTATATTTACTTCCTTAGCACTTTTCTCACTCTAATAAGAAGACACTGGCCAAAACTGACACTTCCTTGCTTCAGGGTAATGATGCAAGGCTGCTTCCCCAACATTAAACAAGAGAGGTAGCTGCCCGGGACTCTGCTCCAGAGGGCTCCGCTGTGGCCCTCGTCTTTTGAGATTGTGGGAGGAAATCCACCCCATGACAGTAACTACAACTGTTCCCTGTCAGGGTCCCTGGAGAGACGAGTATGGTGCCGGATGGGCATTGTCAGAGCAGACACTGACTGTTCAACTATGATGATTTTTCTAGAACACGGGCTTTTATAGAAGTATTTTTCTGCAGAAAGCAGACCATACACCTTTTATCTAGAGACAACTTTTGTGAACTTTGAAGTTCATATAAAAGGAACCAGTCTGAAAGAAATTCCTATCACTAGGTCAGAAGGAGGTTGGGAACTCTAGAAAAAGGATGATGGCCAAAAGAATTTGGGGATTTTTTTAACTTTGTTGTTTTCTTATTTCCCTTTTCATGTTCATCTGTTTTCCTAAAATGAACATCTGTGACACACATACATTGAAAAAGAACTGGGTACTTCTCTTGGGGGTCAGCCAATGAGGCTGCATCCAGTGTTTAAACATTACTGGGAGATAAACAAAGGGTGAATGGGGACAAGACACTGACCTGTTGAAAGTAGAAATTCCCATGGAGGTCGACGAATCCCGTGACACAAATGAGGTGAGTTTTTAACTCATTCACTGTGAATTAAATGTGCAAAAATGTAGATCTTTATCTCTCTAAATCTGTGGTTGCTCACCGTCTCTTGCACTTGATGCTCATCGAATTATAATTTTCGAAAAATTAAAAACATGATTCTTCTAAAAATGTAAAATAGCAAATGTCAAAGATGAGTTTAGTTAATTACTGAGGCAACAGAACGGTGATAAAGTTAATTAAAAATGTACTGGACAAATAGAAATATTATCACTGAAAGAAAGAATACCAGAATAAGATTGTTACATTGAAATTTAAAACCTTGTGTTTTAATCTATTCAGCCATACAGAAACCATCTACACATCTACAGAAGGAAATTCATTTGCAATGCTATTGGACAAAAATAATTTGAAATATTATCAGTTTTCAAGACACTCTAGACCCAAGATCAGTTTGTAAGATACCCTAATTCGTGAAAATAGGAAGTCAAAACAAAACTGTATAGCTACAAGTAATAAATCTTTGGCTTATCCCCTATTTTGGATTTTTCTTTTTATGATAATGATATACTTAATTATATTTTTGCTCAAAATGAGAAATATAGAGTGATTTCTCCTGAGTTATTATTCTAACAAGGGAGGGAAATTATGACACAAACATTTCGGTATTTTTTAATGTAAAGCTAAAAACCAATATTGATGTGATTAATTTTTTTTATTTTAAAAGTGTGTTTGAAAGGCAAAATAAAATAATAGCTAAAGTAAAATGCTTAATAAAGTTAAACACAAAACGTGTGAAACATTACACATCATAAATATAAAAATAAATTTATAAAAATACAAATGTCATATTTTGCCACTTTAGTACAACAGATAAAATGTAAGAATAAAAATATTCTATCAAAAACTCATAAAATGGTGGAAGTTTAAAAATTATTAAAAATATTTAATTCTTAATTACAATTAAGGAAAATAAAGCCCCTGAATACTGGAATGGTTGGTTATGGAAGTCTGCTGCTGTGTAAATTGTTGCAGACACTGCAAAGGGTTTTTGCTTTTGATTAATCAATGTAATGTGAAGGGTTAACTCTAAATTGAATGTTATTTGGCGATGTACAAGGATGCTTTCTAAATGAGGACACTATAGCTTAATGCAAAATTTTAAAGGAATGTCATGACTCCAGGGAATATCTCAAGATATAAATGATAAGGATTCCATATCCTCCCTCTTAACATGGCCTGCCTTTAAGGTTTTCTCTGTAATATTGGCTTTCAGCAATTTGCTTGTCATTTGCCTTATTGTGGTTTGAGTTTCCTAGATGAGATTCTTGCATCTGCAGGCTTATACTTTCAGCAAATTTGAATTTTTTAGTCATTATTTCTTCAGCTTTTTCCTGTCTTTCTAACTCTCCTTTCCTTCTCTGACCCAAATATATATATATATTCTATATATTAATATGTATATATAATTATTTAATATACGTATATAAAAATTTTGACATTATTTCTCAGGTCCCTGTGGTTCTGCTCTCCCCCGTGTTGTTACTGTATGCTTCATTTTGGATATTTCTCTGTCTGTGTCTTCAAGTTGATAGATTTCCCCCGGTTGTATCTAATCTGCTGTTAATATCATTCAATAAAATATTCAATTCCAATATTACATTTTTATCTCTAGAATTTTCACTTGGCTCATTTCATATCTTTTATTTCTCTCTTCCCTGTGTTTCTGTTTTTCTCTGAGTCTTTGAACCTGTCTGTTTACATTATTTATAATAGCTGTTTCATAGTCTCTGTCTGCTCATTCCACCATGTCTGTCATTTTAGGGACTATTTGGATCAACCAATTTATCTCTTAGTCATGGGGTACATTTCCCTGCTCCGTCATATGACCAGTAATGTTTTTAATTCTGATTTTACACCACTGAGTGCTGGTTCCGTGGTATTCCCTTAGAGCGGATACTGCTCTGCCAGGGGAAACTGCTCGCAGATCAGCTTCCTCCTCGAAAGGCTTGCCTTTCCATTTCTCAAGTGGGTCTATAGCAGCCTTTAATTCCACTACAAACCCTGAAACTTCTGGTTTCTAATGAAATGCCATGTGTATTCAACAACATTTCTCCACCCTGACTTATGCAAACTGAAATGATTCCCAGGTTTACATGAGTTCTGGGACTAGTTTAGTTCACAGCTCCCTAGTACTTTTCTTCCAGTAGGTGTTTATTGTCTGGCCATGCTGAGGTTCACCTTACCAAGAGTGGTATTCCCCTAAAAACCTCTATACAGATTTCTAGAGCGCATTTTCTGCATAGCTTCCTTCTTTTTGTTAACCTTCCCTGAAAATTCCAGCTGCCATGGGCTCTCTCATCCCTGAGCTGTCTTCTCTACTTGGTGTAACCACGAGGGTCTGTTTGGGACTTCTCCCAGTGCCGCAGCCCAGCAATTGTGGGGTGATCATAGGGTTCATCCTGCTTAGTGCCCTTCTCTAAGAGGGCACAGTTATTCAATATATAAAAACAGTTGTTTCATCTATTTTGTCCAGTTTTCTAGTTGTTTGCAATAGGAGTGTAAATTCTGTAACCAGTTGTGCTTTTCCTAGAGGGATGCATCCATTTAAAAATATCCAGAATAAACAATACCATACCGAAAAAAACTGTGTGTCTTCTTCCTTAAATATAGCATAGTATATTGGAATAGCAAAATGTCAACAAGTGGTATAGCAGCCACTATGTCCGGAGGAAGTAAACCAACTACCATTGTTGACTTAGAGCCCCCACCTCAGCTCTTGCTAGTGTTGTAGGTACAATGAGATTTTCTGTGATTTCCATTCAATGTCTGGTGTACGATACCCTTCCTCACATTCCTCTGCTAAGGGCTGCATCAACTCAACTTGAACATGCAGAAATCTCTGCAGATAGGGAAGAAGGGGCTGTGCACAGGGCCCTATCATAGGTCTTCTCAGTCTAAATAGGCCCCACTGCCTCCTATGTCATGGCACCCATGCAGGTGTGGCATGGGACACTCTAAGGATGCCTCTAAGCAGAACTCCAGGCCCCGAACAAGTGAAATTTCCTCCTGCCCACAGAACTGAGCTGTTTGAGAGTTTTCTGCCATCTAGTTTATTGTCTAACGCACCCTCCTCTATACACAGGGAGAAGGCAGAGCAGAGGCCTCTCTGGAAACTCATCTATGACTCATTTACTTGCTCTCCCCACTCTCAGGATCCTGTCCACAAGTTTCGCACTGAATTGCTTCCCTCTCAGATTCATATGTTGAAGCCCTAACACACCCCGCCCCTTTGTGTAGTTGTGTTTGGAGTAAGAGAGTACAGGCAGGTGGCAGAGATACTGAGAGTTCAGCTCCAGACCATGGCAATAGAGTGAGTACCACAATGCAGTGAGTCATTATCTTTTTGCTGCTGGAGGGTCTTGCCCACGGTCGCCCTCTCTCTGCCATGGGAGGACACAGTGACAAGGTAGCCATCTGCCAGCAGGACAGTGGTCCTCATCAGGAACTTCATTGGCTGACACCTTGAGCTTAGACCTCCCAGCCTGAGAACTGTGCGAAATAAATTTCTGTTGTTTAGCCACCCAGGCTGTGATATTTTGTTATCGCCGCCCCCGCAGTCTAAGACACCACACCTCAGGGAGCTTTCCTTATTTTTTTTTGTTTCCTATCTTTGGGCTAGAAAACTGCCCTCCTGTCACCTGCTGTATTCTTCATATTTATAGGTTTTTAGTAAAAACTCTATTCTCAGCCTTCTAGAATTTGTTTCTTGATATTTAAAGGAAAAGTTGTGAAATTAAAAACAAAAACATACACAGACCCAGAAACCTTCTCTATCTCACACTCTTGCCTGGCTCTTGAAATTGGAAACTAAATTCAAGTCTGTTCTTACTGAAATTGATCTAAACAACCTAATTTTGGAATCCAAAAGCCAAACTCTGACTACTCTTTTTCTTTCTTAATTATGACAGTCTTAATCCTCCCAGAGGTAATGAAGAGCTCCATTTGAAAAGCAGTAAGATTTAAAAAATAAATAAAAAACAAGGAAGTACCGGAAAGAAAAGCATAATAATGTATTTCAAAATATTATTTTATTACACAAGTATAAAACAGGATTGTCTACCCATGCATAAAAAAAATAACTGAGAAGAACTAGGTAACACCAAGCAATGGTTTAAAAAACAGAGTATTCTGTTATAAACTCTCTCCCTTCTCCATCCCATGGTATCACCAGAGCTCAGATGACAAAATTCTTCTCTTCTTTGACAAGGTCTCTGGTACATGCCTGGCCCCTACATTGGTCCCAGGATTACTGCCTGTCTGACATTTTCCATGTTTTATCTCAGAGTGTAACTGTGCCATTTAGCGAGGTCTCCCCCTGTCCTCTTGGTTCTGGGTCCTGTTGGCTAAGAAATTCTCTAGGTTGGACTTAAAACTATGTTTTTGTCCCAATATTATTATTTTATGTGGTTTCTTTACAGAGTAGTTTATTTTCTCAGGTAGCCCCAGGTGATATGTGCTTCTTGATGTTCTCTCCAGTTTCCTGAAAGATTTAGAAGAGGGGCGTCGAACTCATTTTCACCAGGAGCCACATCAGCCTCACGGTTGCCTTCAAAGGGCCAAATGTAATTTCAACTCCTTAACAGTTAAGAGGTAGCTATATTTATACAGTCCCCAAATTATTTTGGCCCTTTGAAGGCAGCCATGAGGCTGATGTGGTCCCCAGTGAAAATGAGTCCGACACTCCTGATTTAGAACAATATCCTCCATGGTCAGAGTTGGAGGACAATCCATACGGCATCACATGGGGTCACCTTGAAATAAGGCCTGTTAGTACAAAATCAGCCAGTGGTTTCAACCCTGTGGTTCAATTCAAACATCTTCCTATATGTTTCTCTGAGTCTTTGACATATCATTTATATTCCCTGAGAGATTTAAAGATGGAGAATTTTAATCCCCTTCTTTTCTCCTAGAGTCCATTTATAACTTCCCCTCAAGGAACATCACACTC